CTTCACAATTCCCTAGGCTAATGTCTTGCCTGCATTTATATGTATATATAGTTGAGGACAAAAAGACAAGTGTATTCTTTTGAAAGTTTTTCTGTAGTGTTTGCCTACGCAGCAAGACAAGACTTTTGGCGTGCCGTCATTTAAAGTTTCATAGTTTAAAAACCTCCAAAATATCCTATTTGTCATTTCTGGAGAATTTGCCATATTTATAAGGCATTGGTCATACAAGTGATGTCTCTTGAGATGATGAGATGATGGACGGATTGAACTACAAGGTTGCATCAGTCCTGAGAACGCTCTCACCAGGAATACTGAATTTGAACAGAAACATTTTCCTCAAAACAATTTAAAAAATTTTATTTTCACACATGATTGAATGCTCATTAAAAAATAAATCAGATGTTACTCAACAGTTACTTAGTACTTGTAGTTTTTTTCACCAAGTACATTTTTACTCTTACTCAAGTAATTATTTAGATGACTACTTTTTACTTTTACTTGAGTAATATTACTCTGAAGTAACAATACTTTTACTTGAGTACAATGTTTTGTTACTCTACCCACCCCTGACCACGGACAATGCTGTCTCACGTTACAGTGAATGTTGTAGTACTGTATGTGTAGGGTATCTGTGGCTGGGTATATGGTAATGGTGGAACATAGCAGGACATGAAATACTGAAGCGGTCGGTGGTAAAACAGGGTCTTATTCCTCTTTCTGTCCTCCATCAGGGAAATGACTGAAAGCACATTTAATATTTTGCACAACTTATTAAATGATATAACTTGTGGAAAACATAATAGGTCATTTCCATTCAGTTGGTGCCGCAGTCAGCGTGATATTTTTATATTACAGGATATTCCAAAATACTCTTCTCTGCTGTCTGCGAAACAGTTGACAGATGTCGGCAGAATGCAGTGGGAACGCGTGCTGGCACAGGAACTGGACAATGCAGTAGCAGATGGTTGGAGGCAGTCAGGTAGTTCAGAGCCCTTCGTCCGGGGTCCTGTTGATCTCCGTTTCGCCTTGTGGTCTATGATGTCACACAGTGCTCTGCCTTTGAATGGCCATGTGTTCCTCACCACTAATATCAAACAGATGATGAGAAACCTCTAAATGATGGTTTTTCACTGAGACAAGCAGTCAAAACAAAGTCAGAGGAACACAGAGGAACACCAGTCAAAGTGATCACATGAAAAAGAGACTATACATTGTTAATTGTTGCAGGCTGTGTTGTGGCCAGTGTTGAACTGTACACTGCACAATAAAACCAACATTTTCCTGCAAAAATAAAAGGCAGACTCCCAGTCCACAGGGACATTGGTAGCATATTGGTATTTTTCGACACTTAAACTCACGATTTCACGTGTTGAACTAACAAGATTAAAGCACTGCCCCCAGTGTAAAAAGTCAGCCATGGGACCAGAAAACAGGGAGGAAATGGTGATTGATAAGAGAAGGGCATCAAACAACAGTTGTCCTTCCCCCTGCATCTGGATAATCTCCATTAGCCTACTTAGTGATAATCTCTAGATTAGCTCAGATACACTTTGACACCCAGATTTATAATATCATTGGAAAATGTACCATTCAAAGATTTGATATTTTACAGCTTCAAACACATGATTCCAGGTTTTGACCCAGTTTCCCAAGAACGCCCGGTTGTTTCCAGGTGAACGCTGACAGGTAATGATGATGCATCACGTTAGCTGACCTGAGATCCATTTTTCAGTTGTATTCTACTGGAACATTCTTCCTACATCCCGCATTCTACGAGCGTCGTTTCCAGTGGGAATCAGACCAGAAGTGTCATTATATAAAATACAAACCTGAAGCCCTGGAAAGTAATTGAAAGTAATAAAAAGAAACCCATTATTAGGTAATGCACCCCAAATGTCCTTCTGTAGCAGAAAGTTGAAGAATAGAAATTGATTAGTTTCACTGACTGACTTCTTTTTTTATGGACCTAAAATTAAATAAGCCACAGTTTCCCACTGGATCATATTATATTTACCTTGGGTTACACTTTGAAATCTTTGAAGAACTAAGGATACATTTCCTGCAGGTGGAACTTTTCTCTATTATTGCTGTTTAAAGTCTGAGCTGCTCAACCGCAGCAGTGGCTGACTGAGTGATATTTGGAGTATTTCAAATATCTCAACTAATGTGGTCATGTCCATCACAGTTCAAACACATTTAAAAGTTCAAAGTGTAGTAACCCAAAGTTACTTGTATGACCCTTGTAGATGACCTTCAGAACCCTTGCTATAGCCATTGTCAGTTCAGTATTTTGTTTTGATGTGTGTTAGAAATTTGTTCAGCTTTTTTAAATAAAACTGTTAATATATATAAATATATGAAGTTATATATTCTACTGAGATATGATACTGAAACCCACAGACATAAAAGCTGCTTTAAAAACAGTTACTGTACACACACACACAAACACAAATACACACACCAGTCTCTGTTTTTCTGACATTTCTAATGACAAAATGTTTGTCAGAAACAGGCCTTTCTTTTCCCTTTTTCTTTTCTTTTTTTAAAAATTCTTAATCTAGGGCATAATATGGGGAGCTCATGAGGTTCCGGTCCCCAGGGAGTCATGCAACTAACAAAACACCTCTTACTTCTGCTCTGATGCCCATTTACAATGCTTTTCAAATACAGACGGACAAGTGAGTGTCCGGCATCAGAATGAAGTAGCATGACTCTTTCATTATGCTGTTCTCAGTGTACAAATGGAAACCGAAACTCAAGTATCTGCCTCAAAATTTGAAAATACAAATCATGTCATTTTATCTCAAATAGTAAAAAATGACATGTTTTTAAAAATTAAACAGCAAGGAATAAATTGTCATTATATCCCTATGATAATGGTCTTTAGATACTGGTGCAAACAGTTCCTGGTTCCACAGCTGCTCATTCTTACACGGTATTCTGGTTTCTTTCACTGCTCTCAATTAGCTCCTTTTAAATAACTACTCCTTTCACTGGCAGTTTCCGGCTACACATGCATCTCCTTGTTCTATGGAGCCATTCCATCCATCTCAAATACGCATTCACAAAAGAACTACTCTTGTATGTGTGTCTAAAAACAAGAGGCACAATGATCCATGTCCCTTTCACACTGGGCCATTTGCATGAAGCATCTCCTCCCATTTCGTGACTCTCGACAGCTCTGCCAACAGCAAAGGCAACAAGTTTGAAGACAGTCGTCCTGTATCCCTGCACCCTAATGGGCTTTCTTCTAAGTTTCAGGACTTTCACGACTTTGGTTTTCTTGCAGCTTATTTCAGCTATTCCAACAACAAAAAGCATTTAAAATTTAATTTTCAGGAAGTGCCACATGTAGATTGACCTCTTGTCTGAAACTTCATCAATGATCATATTTTCCCACAATTTCTATGAAATGTATCAACGAGGCTGACATTTCTTTGTAGTTTTAATGGTTAAAACAAAACAGTTTCCCATAAAATGTGCAACTTTTCATTTTTCCTTTCCTCGTTCTGATCAGGTCTTTGCTTGACACGGAGAAGTTCCTTTCCACGCTGGGAGAGATAATTGACTTCTGTTCCATGCGTGCCACAATCAAGACAGAAGACCACAGCATATTATGAACATGTGCTGTGTACAAAGTGATGTCAAAGTCAGCACACCGCTGATTTATTTATTTTTGATTTTTTTAGCAATGCTTCCTAATGCAGTTGCCCGTTGCTATATTAGGCATGGTTGGAATGTTTGAATAACAGACTACACAACGTTTTGCTCTGAGAACCTGGACACACACATAGACCAAATTTAATGCCTGTGCTTCTTCTTGGAATAGAGGGAATTTATGAAAATAATAGTTTTGGAGATTTGTTGGAACAGTCAACGTGGACCACTAAACACTCTGCGGGAACATTCATGCACTAACAGGAACTGAGCAATAAAATGAAGAGTGTGGATTTCTGTCTGAAGCCTCAAGAATAAGTTCACTAGTTTCTTTCATAATCCATTTCAGTATTTCATTAAACACATTTATGAAGCATGTCAGTGCCTGTCAAAGGAACCAACAACTATATACTTTAATCAACAACCTGGTGTGATGTTCAGCCATTTGAGAAGAAGGCTAGAGTGAGAGTGTGCTTTGATGTTTCCTCTGTGAAGCAGAAGAAAGAGTCCTATCGAGCCTGGTTGGTTCGGAGGATTCCTATGGCAGCTGACGGGCACAGGCAGGCCAAGCGGACTGAGGTCACGGAAGCATAAACGGAAGCACCTCCAAGTCTGAAGCCATGGTCCTCAACCGGAAAAAGGTGGCTTGCACTTTTTAGGTCTGGGGAGAGATCTTGCCGCAGGTAGAGGATACATTTAAGTATCATGGGGTCGTGTTCATGAATGAGGGAAGGATGGAACGTTACATCGTATGCCCCCCGGATGCCTCCCTCGGCAGGTGCTCGGGTCGTGTCCCATTGGGAAGAGAACTAGAGGAAGACCCAGGACACGCCGGAGGGACCATGGCGCCCGGCTGGCCTGGGAACGCCGCGGGATCCCCCCAGAAGAGCTGGAAGAAGGGTATGGGGTCTAGTCTAGGTGTCCCTGCTCCGACTGTTACCCCCACAACCTGGCCCCGAATAAGCGGAGGATGGTGGATGAATGGATGGATGAATGGATATACTTTGAAGCAGTAACTTTGAATGTATCAGCACATTTACTTCAAGTACTAATTACCAAAAAATACAATGACAATACTTTAAACTCTAGTTTTATTTATAAAGCAAATTTGGTCCCAAACATTGGTTTGACTTTCTCAACACCTTTTGTGAAATTCTGTCTTAAACTTTGCTATTAATAATTGTGTTTAATCCCAGTTAATGTCTTATAGGAGCTGCAGTAATTTGTTTTCACTTGACCTTTTTTTGCCTTGCCGTTTGTTTTACTTACAGGGTCAGTTTCTTGGCATTTTAGTCGTGTTAAATGGCATATCAGTGCAGTAATCAAAAACACATCCAGCAACATTTCAGCTTCATGTTTAATGGACTGAGGAAATACTTTTTCGTGCCACGGTCTTTTAAGTGATATTGCAACAACATTCCAATAAGTATTATTTCAGCACAAACAATGCTAAAGGTAAATAATACCAAGTGGTTTTAATATGAAACACACTTAAAATTTGTATTTTTTCCAGTTTTTCTTTTTTAAGAAAATAGGAGATATTTAAGGGGCTCAGGGTTGGAGTGGAGGGGGGGTGGGGGAGGGGCATTTATAATAGATACACATCTTGAACCAGAGTTTCTAAAAAGTATCTTTCTTTACACTTAGTACAAAAAAGACATCTCTACCCGTTAGTGCTTTGTTTTAAGATACTATAACATAAATAAACAATTTATTTCAGTGTTCACCACAGACAGTTCCAGTGTGACTGGAAAACTAACATACTCCACAATATTCCAGTTGGCAGCAGTGGGTTAAACAGAGTCCTCCTCTCAGATTTTGGCACAACCTGATGCACCATACTTACAAATGTTCTTTATTTCTGCAAACCTCCAACACAAGCCCCAAATAGCTTTGGGATGGGGAATTCATGTCAAGAATTCACTTTTGTTCCCCTTTTTAACAACAACACCTTAAAACCCTTGAAGGTTTTTGATTAAGACTCAATAAGATTTCTCTCAGTCACCTCTTACCAGCACCCATCAGTTTGGTCCAGGCCCAGGCTGCGGCGTCTTCTCTCCATGTACGAGTCTCGTGTGAAAGTAAACAGTTACAAATCACAGAGCGTAAAAGAAAGTACAGTTACTGCCGAGGTCCTCATTCATTACCTGTAGTCCCATTGTCACTGTGGATACTTCAGTACATGAGCATATCTGGTATGTGACAGTAAAGTTCTGGGGAACTACTTACTGATATTTAGCATTTACGTTCTGAAAAGCTGTTAGATTAAAAAAAAAATTGCTGTGCAAAACAATGCCACGAAGAGCTGATAGTTTCTTTTTCATTGCATTTATATCAAATCTCTACTGGTCCCAGTCACACATGTAGCTCGCTCTTCCTGGTGCCTGCTCGTCCAGCTTGTACGCGGTGTGTTAAATTCCTGGCATTCAGTCTTTTCTGTCCTTATTTGCAGGTAAACACCTCCGTCCTCTCACTGCACGTGTTGCACTTCACGAAGCAGCACCACTGGAACTTGCAATTACACTGCCACACTTTGGTGTACTGGTGTGTATTGTAGCCCCGGCCGCAGCACATTAGGTCACAGCCGTCTGTGTGTGGCGACGTGCGGTTGCACAGGCGTCCCTGGGTTCCTACACTCCCCGTGGTTGCGTCCTCTTCGCAGTAGTTAGGCGACCTCTCGATGTAGACGAGATCTGTCTCCATGGGCTTCCGGTAGCCCTGCGTCTGCTTTACCTTTAGATGAGTTGGCTGTCGCAGTCGGCTGGCCCGGACCACCTCCACGTGCACGGCTTCATTGTATTTTTCCTTTAGGATGTAACCAATCTCACGGAACTTGGGAAGTGTAGTCCAACAGGTCTTGGTGGTGCAGGACCCTGAAACGCCATGACACTTGCACTCCAGCTTCATTCTCTCTTCTAGAACCTGAGGATCCACAGATGAAACACAGAGTTGCAATAAAAAAAAAGACAAATAGCTGAAAAGAGAGTACATAAGTAAGTTAATTAGCATAATTGGAAAATAATTTATTTCAAGATGAGACAGACTTGATGTTGCTCTTCTTTGTTCTGAACCAAATGCACATGATTTGCATATTTGAAAAACTCTGGCCTACAAAAAAAGAACCACTAGCATGCTGCTTCATGTACTGTGAGAGAGAATAGAGAAGTTAATGGTAATACTGCGTCCCATAATTATCGCTACCTCAACCACAATCAGTAGTGAAGCAAAACAAACAAGAATCACAGCGAGGATCTTGTGAAACCACAATATTGCGTAAATGAATGTGCAGAGCAAACACTTTGCCAAAACTGATATCTTCAAAAGTAAGTCTTTGTTTTTTTGTGTTTTTTTTTTCCCACTCTGAAAGAATCTCCAATGTCCAAAATGGGAAATTCGAGACATGAATATAGCATTCCTTTTAGCAATTTGTTGTAATTCTTTTGCCCTGTTGAACATTAGTAAATGTCTTTACAGAAACAATTCCAATCAGTTTCTGTTTTTAAATTTGTGATAAAAGACAGATATTTTGACTGGATGTGAATGTCAATAACATGTCCTCGCTGTCAAGTCATTTTGTCTGCTTACAAAACTCCTTGTTATGATCAGACCAGTCCGACAACTAATTACAGATTTCAAACTTTTTTTAAAAAAAAAAAGGTTTGCAAATAATTCCAGTAATGTAGGATAAACACGCCCCAAGAAATGTGTCACACCAGGAGGAATTAGAGGCCTTGACTTAGACTCTGTTAATCAGTGTCTGATCTACTGTAATCCAGACCTATAAGAACCCATTGTTATCTACATATTACGTGTCAGTTACACACATACAAACAGACACTCACACGGTAAGGACATACTAAAATGTCACCACTTCAGAAAAGGGTCTTCTTTCTCCAGGTTAAAGCTATATAATTTAAACATCCTTGCTCCCCAAAATGTCCTTTTTTGTTTTTTGTCAATTGGTCCCGACAAACACAAACACATTCACACACGCATGTTGACACACTAAAAGATCAAAGTGATTTAAGAGTGAGTTATTGGTCGTTTAGGCTCCGCTTAGTCACGGAATCTTGTAATTTACTGTTGTTTCAACAGTGCCTTTTATTAGCGATTACAAAACCAAATTTCAGCTGGATCCTATTGGAGGCCAGAGCTCATCTCTCATCCCCACTTCAGCTTATTTGCCTTGATTTAATTAATTTTAAAGACTCGTGTAGCAAAAATGCCATATAACTCAAAAAAAATCTTGTCTGCCAAATAAACAAGGATCAATAAAATTTGATTATGTTGAGAAACAAAACTAAAACAAAAAAAAAAAAATTACACTCAAAGCAATTCTCAAACTCTTTCACCTAGAATAAATCCACCAGTTGAAAGTATGTCCATGTGGCTCAATCACAGGTGTCCTTGACTACACCTGGACAATTTAAAGTCAAGTGGAATCTTGTTCACCATATATGGCTGTCATTAGCTCTTTGCTAACATAGACAAACCCTATTTTTTAGACAAATGCTGAACCACATCCTGACAATGTTGTCTGGAATAGTCACCATTTTACAGGACATAAATATGACACAATTAAAAATACAACTTTTTATCCTAGGTCAAATTACAGTTTTATTTTTTCACCTGGTAATTGGCATCTGTATACATATAAACAATACGCTCTTCTCGTCAGTGCATCTGTTCCAAAGTGAAACCCTCTGTGCTAACAAGGCCAAACCCAGTGTCAACGCTCAGAGGAGCCTGTGGGATCGCTCATCCTTAATTATATCTTCAACCCTGAAAACGACTCCCACTTTCCTCTAAATCAGCAAACAAGTCAGCTGCACATCCTTCTGGTATTTAAGTTTCCAACTCTTGTATAAGAACATCCATATAACGCCAACCCCTGTCCAATAACAGCTCAGTAGCAGTGGTGGGTAGTAATGAGTTCCATTTACTCCATTACAATTACTTGAGTATGTGTTTCAAAACAAAATACTATTAGGAGTAGTTTTAAATCACTATATTTTCAACTTTTACTAGAGTAGATTTATGCAGAAGAAACAGTTACTGTTACTCCACTATTATCTTATTGATTTGTATTTTTATTGAAGTATTTTAATTTACCTAAAGATTATTTAAAGGTATTTAATGTATTTTATTTTATTATTTTGTTGTTAGGATAAACTCTCCCCTCAGTAATTTTGTCTGATTGATTGATCATTAAAAAATAAATCAGATGTTACTCTGATTACTGAGTAAGTAGAGTAGAGTACTGAGTAACGCTACAGTTACTCAGTAATTGAGTAGTTTTTTACTCTTACTCATCACTCTTACTCAAGTAATTATTTGGATGACTACTTTTTACTTCTACTTGAGTAATATTCTGAAGTAACAGTACTTTTATTTGACTACCATTTTTGGCTACTCTGCTCAGTAGCTAGCATAGGGTGCAGCTTTTATCAATCTACTTAACAAGAGAGCTTTTGGCCTGCCTTCACATCCCTAATAGCTGCAGTGTCATTTGATGTCATATCAGTGACATTTTTAATGGTATGATGCAGAGATCTGGTATAATATCCTAAGCAGACATTTTTTATAGATAATCTCAGAAATATGTGGATTGCAGCCCATCTGGTAACAACTGACAAAGCTCTCATTTCCCAATGGGCAGAATGAAGCCAAGATTATTGATTAAATCCATTTATCAACTTAACTTTATCTTTGTTTGTTAATTTGCCTTTTATAATCTTTTTTTTTATTTTATTAAGGCAGTCTTGGGTAAGTATAACCATGATGAACTTAGCCAACATTTTTTAAGATAATTGGAGACAGATAGGAAGCTGAGTCGCCAAACGGTAAACATGTTATAAATATTATCCATTCATCGTCTAATGCTTTATTCATCTAAAGAGTGGAAGTAAAGTTATTCGTACAGGATGAAAAACTGGGTGGAAACAAATCCATCACAGCTCCCCCGTGCAAAAATGGCTTTTACTTTTTATAAGAGTTTGGAATATCGATTGCGCTTCAAGTAAATTTAGAAATTTGAGTAGCTTCAGAATTATTTGGTTACTGTATACACCAGCAGAGGGGGGTCAACTGTAAGTGCAACATAGCCATACATTCTATATTAGGCATTAAAAAAAAGATACTTCCTGAGTTACAGCTGACTGTTTATGATTAGAATAAAAATAAATCAGACAATATCTTGTTTTTTTACACAGTTACTTTGTTTTTTTGGAATATGTAGGATGAAAACCAGAGAACTGGCTTCACTTCTATACAATAAGAACCAGAGAGAAGGGGAAAACTGCCGATTCCAAATACTTCAACTTTGTGATTGTCGTATTTAACTTACAAACTGTGCTTAGAAAGTGACCTAAGCAGTTAGTTTTTGTGGACTGTTACTGCACAAAATGAATGAAAAGCTGCAGATTTCAGGGGTGTTTGCTCTGCAGAATTGCTCACTGACAATATTCCATGCATGTTGGTACATGCTGCTGACTAAAGTCAGCACACTATTTTAGCCTAAGGCAGACCAAGGACAGAGCGCTCACATGTTGTTAGCTGTTAGAATGAAGAAAGACCGGTATGAAGCCGATTTGGCATTTTCCTCTGGAACCTGACTTTGTGGGTAAAAAATGAAGACAAACAGCATTCAGTGTCATTTGAACACCTCCTGTGAGTTGAGAAAGTCACGTTACCCTTCTTCACTAATGGGAGAATTTGAACTAAGTCAAACCTTGACTCTGCTTCCTGTTTCGTAAGAAATATGACCAATGTCCCATTTGACATAAGAGTCAACACTGCTGAACTGCATCACACTTTGCAGCACTATTTCATTGTACTGATGGATATTTACATGATTTGGGTTTGATTGAACAGTTATCCTTTTTTCTATGGTCAGCTTGGGCTTCCTTTGAAATCAAAACCCAGAAATACAGGTGATGAAGTTTCTTCTTGTCGTTACCTTTCTCCCTGCCTCATTATTATGAAGGTTCATCAGGCGACGTGGTGTCTTCTTAATCTCCCTGGCGTCCACAAATCGTCGGGAGAACTCGATTCCATACTTGATGTCAGCAGAGCACCCTCCCCACTTCCAGCCTTCCTCTTGATTGTAATATCCTTGCTTTTCCCGGTCGCAGCCGCACTGGCTCAGGTTGCCCTGGCTGCAGGCCGCAGTAATGGCATGGGCCACTCCTGCTGCTGTGATGGCGTAGGTGAATGCTGCTTCCCGACTGCCTGAAAAAAGATCACATGTTTTTTCAGGGATGTTGAGATACAATAACAGTTTCGATGTGTGTAATATTTACAAAATGAGCTTCCAATGGGAGAGAAAGAAGGTTGGGTTATTGTGTCTTATTCAAACATGCCACAACTGTTTCATAGTTATATATAACTTTCATATTGTGAATCTCAGATCTTATTTTCCAGACAGTACAAGTGGGTCTAGTACTGACATTAAGCCACAGAAATTCAAAGTTGACTCCATCATCCTGATAAGTTAGGGTTTTTTACTCCTACACTTCTTAAACAGCTTCCCTCTGCACCTTGGTAGAAACTTTGTAATGTTTCCAACCACAAAGTCCTTGGGCCGTTGTGGTCTTTGTGAGTACAGTGTTGGAATTTCAGTGTGGGGAGAGCTGGTGTAGGTGCTGTCCAAAGTGCTGAATTCCTCCATGGAAGCACCTTGTACTGTTGCCCACACTGCAAGGAGCTTCGGCCTGTTTGTCCCAGTGCATCACTTACACTGACAAAAAAAAGGACTGCTGTGAAGTTGAGCTGATGGTAATTTTAAATTCCTGTTACTAGATTAAAAAAAAAAAAAAAAAATCCTGTACACTATTACAGCTAATAAGAAAAATGTGTGACACATGCGTTACTCATTCAGGCTGGTTAGTGGAAGAAAATCCAAACGGTCAAAATGAAAGATTAGTAGGTTCATTTCTGAAGGAGGGTGAGAGACAAAACTAACAATGCATTTTTGTACTCAAACAACAAGCACCGCAATCAAGGAAGTGTTTTCTGCACTTAGCAAGAAATCCCTTGGCTTCAGTCACATCATTTTCTGCATCACCTGGAAAGTATGCAGGTCAAAAGCAACCAAAAAACAAACCTGTTTTATTAAAAGAATTCAAACAGAAAGTTGATCATCTCTATTTTAATTTAACAAAAAGATAAGTACATTTCTTTGGGTGTCTTGAGTTTTCTCTCCTCATATAGCAGTCGTGTGTATAAAATAACTTTTAAAATAACTAATCTGTTTTACATTCCACTTCTTCCACTTTCATTTGCACCTCTTTTTCTGGTCTCAGGGTCACTTTTTGAACATTCAAAGATGTTTTCACCCAAAGCCACTGTTAATTTTTACTCTGGCACTGGTGCTGCAGAGTTTATGCCACGGCCACAGGTTTGCCCAGTGGGCACTGACTCACAACCGCTTTCTTCTGCTTTGGTTTGCAGCAGAGCTGTGCCCCACCAGCTTGTGGTTACTCCTCACTGCCCCCACCTCACACACAAACACAAATGCAGACACACAACCAACTGTAACATATGTGCATTCATGCACACGGGGCACATGCTCAGTTGCAGGCCACATAACAAAAATACACAACACTCTCGCAGTACCCTCCGCTCTGACACACGTCCACTGCTCCAAACACGTTTTCACATAGACAACAACATAATGTTTAAAACAGGGTGTTTCCAGAGGAATGGGTGGTTCCCTGAGCCATGGATGCATGCCCTTTTCTGGACCCATTGAGTTGCACTGCTCATGGGGAAAATGATGTTGGAGGTTGTACTAGATGTCACCGCCCCCACCCCCCAGTGGGTCTGGCACCTCTAAGCTTCGCCTGGCAAAAGTAAAACCAATTACACAAGCCATGAAATAAACACAGTGATCAGGACCCTTTATTTTTCTGCAGTGAACCAAAGAAAACATTGGGATTTGGAAATCAGATTCCTTGAGATGCACTGTCCCTTCAACACAGGCATAAGCTGTAGGCACCTAGTTCAAGCTCATCTATATCTGATTATCAAATACAAAGTTCAGGTTATTGTTTATGAAGGTTTCATGTCTGTGTAAAATAATAGCTATAAATTCTAAAGAATGATGACCACAGCCAGGAAATTCCCTTGTGGATCTGGCTGTGTGCAGGCATAAACATTTTCCTCTTTTGCCACCAAGAAAGGAAGGCCCTGCTATGCTGAACAGACATGTGGTTGATGAAATGTGGAGAAGGAGAAAAAGCACCCATATAACAGCAGCAGAGAGCCCTGAAGAAGCTGGCCCCAGAGCCCTGACAGCCCTCCAGGAAGGAACCACCCTGGGATAGCCTCGCAAGCTGCCAGTGGAAAATTGGAGTGACCAGAAAAACCTCAATGAACTTGGAAACATCCAGGAAAGAAGAATGAAGGAATATTAAACCAGATGTCTAATAGAGTTTAGTGGCAAGTGTCTGCTGCACTATCCAAGAAAGGAGGGAAAAGATCGGGTACATGTCTTCATAAACAAGTTTAATTGTTCTATTACATCCCTGTGTCCAGAACTAAAAACAGAGGTGCATTGTCGTGCACTGACTCAGTATGTTTGGCCTTTACATTCATTGACCACAACGCTTTGGACACTGGCCCCTACTGAAATGCCCATCCTACCGCTTACCATGTGCCAAAAACGAGGGACGCAAAAGAATCTCTGGATGTTGTGATTTCTAGCATTAAAGTCCATCTGGACTCACAGAAAGCCAAAGTTCATATGAAGTGATGACGCTATACAAACAGTGAGGGTAAAGGAGAAGTGAACTGATTTAGTAATGCTACCGCTGACCTCAACAGGCGTCATTTTCCTCACCACTCACAGGACATGGTTAGGCTGTGTGGCTGACAAGAGAGGAAAAAGAAAAGATTTATGAAAGAGATTTGGACAAGAGACCGTGGAGTTGAGTGTTCCCTGCAAAAACCAGCCCAGGGTCACTTGTTCTGTGTGTGTAACTCTGGCATGTTGAGGACAGAGTACGTAAAAGTAAAAAAGTTAAAAGTAATCTTCGTATCTGTTGTCACATTATAGAGTAGATGGGTTACATACCAGACTCTACCAGTAGGTGGCGGTTATGCAACTGAGAGAATGTGATGCTGTTGTAAAAACTCTAATAAGAAGAGCTAAAAAGAGTCAAGAACCTCTATAGCCCACCAAACCAGCATGTAGACTAATTCACAAATAAATCTCAAATGATAATGTTAGACAAGATTTTTTTATTTCATTTTTTTTCAGTGTTCGGCCCCCAGGTGTCTGTCTAGAAAGGATAGAGAGTTAGTGTGAGGTCTGTCTGTTCCCTGGTCCTGCTGTCTGCTCTGTGGTGCAATCAGTGTCATGACACTCACCTGTTGTCTTCGTCATTAGTCTCACTCGTATCACCTGGTGACCTATACCTCTCTCCCTCACTCTGTCCTGGTTGGATCTCAGTGTGTGTTTGTTCAAGCCTGTGCTGTTGTGTTTCTAGTTGGTCATGTTTTGAAGAAGTCCATGCTTTGTAGTTTGTTTTGCTGCAGTCTATGTGTGGTAGTTGCTCTGGCAATGGAACACAGGATGTAATTTCAATGTTTTCAAAGTTCGTGTATAAATATCATTTTATCAGCTTCTGACACAAATGGTGGTGCTAACAGATGGAGAGTATTTGTATACGTATTCTCAGCACTTATTCTTATCATAACAACTAGTAGCAATTGTCAGGTAAAACACTGATACATAATTTAACAGGATTTTATAGAACATAACCCGGGTCACTTGTTTTATATTTATTATTAATATTTTACAAACACTACAGTCAAATCAACCATGTTTCATTATATCTTAAGATATAATGAGGCATTAACACAAAAGACCATTGCACAATGTGAAGGTGGACACACACTCACACCCACACTAGAAATGCAGATCAGTGCTACAATTTGAAGGAGGAAGTTTCTAATGAGGCGTCCTTCATTTTGACGTCTGATTGTATTTCATAAAATATTATCGAATTATTCAACAATGCCATGAAACACTGAGCTTTTCAGTTTGTTGTTTCCATTAAGGCTGCTGGGAATCCTGTCAGGGACAGATGATGCCACAGTGAACAATGGGGAAAGTGTCACCTGCTGGTGGCCAGAAGTCCTTGCACTTGACTGCAGATTATGAACTGACCATGAGAATTTTTTTTCTTTCTTCACTGAGTTTTGCATCAGCTTTAGTGATTCTAAGCCAAATCTAGTTTTTAGACCTATCCAAAATATTTTGCACAATTAAAATCAGTGGTGGGTAGTAATAAGTTACATTTACTCCATTACATTTACTTGAGTAAGTTTGTCAAAATAAAATACTTCTAGGAGTAGTTTTGAATCACTATACTTTACTTTTACTTGAGTGGATTTATGAAGACGAAACACTACTCGACTCCGCTACATTAGGCTATACTGAGCTTGTTACTCGTTACACATATACTAGATAAAGCTTTAGCTATGCAGTATCTCTACTTTTATTTTGTCAGAGAGAGACTTCTGCCCAAGGCTCTACTGCATGACTGTGTTTAACCAATAAAACATAGCCCTTGTCATGCAGTCTCGTCACATGACCATACTTAATCCCAGCGGAGGGACGGGTTAGTTTAGCGGCCACTGCGGTCGATATCCACCATCTTTGAATGCTCATTAAAAACTAAATCAGATGTTACTCAACAGTTACTGAGTACTTGAGTACTTTTTTACTCTTACTCAAGTATTTATTGATGACTACTTGAGTAACAGTACTTTTACTTGAGTACAATTTTTGGCTATTCTACCCACCTCTGATTAAAATGCACATTAAAGTACAAGCAACCCCAAACCTAAACCAACAAAGACCAACATGTACCTGCTTCACAAGATTTACGCCCAACCTCTATGCAGAGCATTGCATTTATGGTTTGATTTTCCGTTTTGTACATATATTTAGAGTTATGACACCAGGAATACCCAAAGACAAGCTGCAGTATAACCAAAGCCGCCCCTACGCTGGGTCTATGTCTCCAGGGCCCCATTGAAGGGGAGGAAAGCTGCAGGAAAATCCCTTACTTTGTATACCAATCACTGAACTGACTAATGTGCTCTACTACTGTTTTCCGTTCCGCTTTATGTACCGTTGCTATGAACATATGCTCCTAGGAAATTACAGACAAAGTTGTGGTCCGTGAGGTCTGCAGTTCGAAAAAATTAGCACAGCCTTG